TCTGTCCGGTCTCGATCGCCGTGTCCCGGCCCCGATCGCTCTGTCCCGGCCCCGATCGCCGTGTCCGGTCCCATTGCTTATCCCGGTCCCATTGCTCTGTCCGGTCTCGATCGCCGTGTCCCATCCCCGATCGCTCTGTCCCGGCCCCGGGCGCTGTGTCCGTGCCCGCTGTGCCCCCGGACAGTGTCGCCGTGCCTCGGGGCTGGGCCGGGGTCTGTAGCTGTGTGTGTGTACCTGGCTTTGTCCCGGACTTTGCTCTTCTCTCCGCGTCCCCGCGGTGAAACGCTCGGGCCCCGGTTCCCCCGGCAGGGAGGGCAGGGACAGTGCTGGGCTCGCCCCTCTGACAGGCTCCTGCGAGGAAACAGCCACAGAAAAAAGGGATTTTTGCTGCCTCTGACCCCATAATCTGTCTTGGGTCTTGCATTCTTGTTACTTAAATATTTATAAGTTTTGCGGTGTAAAATTTTAAGGGTGTGACGAGCTGGATGTGTAACCCTGATCTGGGTTTGTAGCTATTGCAGTGCATGGCACAGAGCTTTGTGGTTTAGGTTCTGGGGTTTTGTGTTCTGAAAATGCTGAGGTGTCATTTAACATGTCACTTAACTGGTTGTTGGGTAATTTGGAGGCTACTATGTCTTCTGAAACATTATTGCTATAGCATCTTGACACAGCAGTCTGATTTTCCCCTCTCCTGTCTCCTTACTGGTTCCTTGCCACTCATCTTTATTTACACAGTGCTCTGGTTGCCAGTTCACTTCATTATTTCTGCATCATCTCGTTTTTTCCTTCATCATCTCTTCCTCCAGCATCCCTTCCTTATTCCCCCGTGTGCCCTGTGCATTTTGTCACATTGGGCTGGTACTGCCAGGGTAGGCCCCACAAATTAAGATGTAAGGATGGGTCAGGGAGTCAGTTTGATCCATCCATTTGGATAAGGTTGGGAGCTCATCCCAGTACAGCAGGACAGCTCCACTGGTGGATCCTCAGAGATCTTGCCTTCAGCTCCACGCAGTGCAGAACATTCCTCTGGGAGTGTTTGGCATGTGTGTGCAGTGAGCAGTGTGAACACACTCGGGCAGCCTGGCCAGGGTGCTGAAAGTGCTGCTGCAGTGGGAGCTGAACGTGCTGTGTGCTGCCAGGACCTTTCTGTTGGCCAAGCTGGCTCGTTTGAAATTGGCTCAAATACCTTGTGTTGTGCAGTACTTCTGCATCTCCTGTGCTTGAGCTTGTTGGGATGGTCTTGGGGGGACATTCTCCAGCCTGAGCAGAGAGGAGTGCTGTGGGATCCTGCTGGGATGGCTGATGGCTGAGCTTTTCTGGGGGACAGCACAGCAGCTCTCCTGGTGAGCTGCTGTGTCATTTGCTGGGCACCAGCTCTGCTCATTATCAGTGATTTACTCCCTTGGTGTTCTTGGGCATGTTTGGAATATACCTTTGTCTCTCCTGGAAATGGGATCATAGACATTTCTTTTTGTTTTCCCTGGGGCAGGAGGAGGTAGTGTCCACATTTGCTTCTCTGCTCTGATTTAGGGCAAAGGAACAGCTTGGCTCTCCCAAATCTGGATCCCCATCTGGGAACACCTAAAGAGGGGTGTGATCTTATAGGTCCAAGTACAATCTGCACTCGGATCTTGCTTTGTTCTCACATTTCATTTAACTTCCCATTCCTTCACAGTGTTGCTGCCTCTCAGTTGTCCTCTGACAACAGCAGATACACATGAGCCTTTGGCCAGTGAGGAGCAGAGTAACGTGATCTGCAGTGAGTGTGTTGGATCTAGTGACCTTCACTCCAGCAGC